AGACAGAGGAGAGAGGAGAAACCAGTGGCACAAGTTAGACACCTAATTTGTAAATCATCTCTTCCCCACATAGTTTGGTTTCGTTATTTTTAAATACAATTCATCTTTAGAAGACCAGATACAGGCAAGCTCATTAAGTACCTCAACTTAAAGTCGCATTAAATAATCCTTTCATTAGGGCTGTTATGCACTGCCTGCAACTCTGATTTCCCCTTCGATGCAATGGGTAATTGAGAACTGACTAGATAAATAAGAAGAAGCATTAAAAGCTAATTTCATTCTTGGAACATACACTACAATAATGGGCAATGATAATAGGTTACCATAAAACAATTACTGAATATCACAGCATTTTGGAACCAGTTCTTTCTGAAATGTGTGCTACTCCATTCAACAACAAAGAATGTGAGTGTTGTCATTTGAACAGATAATTGCCTGAATGAAAATATAACTCTAGAAATATGTAACGGTTTACATAAAGTAAGAACACTTCAATAACTGTAGGCTACAACTTGGTCAAATAGCATATACTATTCTCAAACACAGAATATATATATTTAAATTTCACTTTGTTCTCCATATGGAAATAAGAAAGTAAATAAAAGTAAAAACTGACACATTTTCAGTCTTTTTTAAAATAAAATGATCTTGAAATATGATAGTAATAATCAAACAAAGATTAAATTATCATCATTCTCAAGAAAATATTCTTGGTAGTTTTTGCTATTTCAGTGAATGATGTAATTCTGTATACGTCACAAAAATAGTATGCCAGCAGTGGGATGGAACTGTGTGAAAATTTAACAACAAAGAGGAAAATTAACACTTTGAAAGCCTTAAGTCAATTTTTCCATACAAAGGCACAGGTATGCTATTACTCTTATCATGGAACACCTATGTGGTTCTCTTCCATACTTCTGGATATAAATGGCATGTACCTACTTGAGTTATAGAACTCTCTGATGATGTTTGACACTAAATAAATGGTCAGAACAGAAACAGGTGTGTCTGAACTATAAGATGCAATGATCACAAAGTATTCAAAATACTACCTAAAAATATTGCCATTACACACCAAAAAATGCTGACAACTCAGATAGCTTTCATTTTCAGTAAGATATGGGTTTAATGCTCTGAGAATTCATGCTATTTTTAAAAAGTACTAAGGAAAAAAAGAAATATACACTTTGCCCCCTTTTAGTAAAATAATAAAATAATAATGATGTGGAATAGATTAAAACTGTTTTGTTAACAGTATTTAAAGTTTTAATATAACACACTTACAGCTAAATATTTCCAAAATGCAGTTCCAGGGAATGGTTAATCTCACTACCATCAGAACCATGAATTACATAATAGGAAGATTTTTCAGATGGGAAACAAACAGGGGCAGCACAATAGCTCTCAAGGTCACAGATTTCTTGGATGGCACAAGTAAGAAGCTGAACTTCAGAATATCCACTTTAATATAAATAGTTTTTAAGACTAGTGAGTGGGCTCTTGTTGCCTGCCTACTTCATAACAAGTAGAGAGCAATCATGTGTTCACATATGAATTGCTATCACAAAAGCGGTGAGCCTGAATATCCTAAAATGTCAGAAATGTTGGGAATTAGCAATGTGTAAGTAGTTGGGATTTCTATCGCTTTTAAAATGGTATGAAAGGTTGCAGTATGTCCTATTCCCTGTATCATACGAGCTTGTGTAGGGTGAATAGAACAAGTTTTGTTACGTGAGCATTTTTAGCACCAGCCAGTGTTTATGCCTAGTTCTACAACAACACATGCAGTTAAGAGTGAGGCAGATGGCTGTACTACCAGGTATCTTTCCCACAGTTTTCTAAGATCTAAAACCTTTGCCACTCCTAGGTGAATGGGAGACTAATTCCCCCTGTCACACTGTGTTTTAATTGCTCTAATTGGGCCTGGAAGAATAAGCCCAGCACATTCTCATGAACTTATAAAAGTAGAGAGAGTTAGCAATTGGCATACACTGAGATCTTTCTAGCAATACAGTTCATATAAATTTTTCCCAGAACGAGAGTGTAAGAAACATATTATTGGAAAATGAACCTGCCAGGCCAAATATGCTTATCTTAATACAGAAACATTGTCTGAGCTGGTGGAAATCTCAAAGAAAGAAATAGATTCATGTAGATTTGTGGTTCCCCCTTGCTTTTTTTTTCTTTGAAACCCCAAAAGGTTTCTTGTCTTGTTCAAATTCAAGAATGTAGACCTAGGTCCTGAGCCAAGCCTTTTCCAAAAGCAATTTGCTGTGAGCTGCACTCCATTACATTGTAAACTGCTACTGAATTAAATAAAGCAAGCACACAACAACCTATAGTGGCTACGTACGAAGCAGTTTACAGTTGTAAAATTAATAAATTTTAACAGTCCCTCGTGAGTACTCTGAAAGGGATGGGATTTGAGTGACTGCTCCCCCCACTCAGCTCCGCAGAGATAAACTGATGAACATGGTTGGTACTCCACTGAGAACACTGCTAAGGATCCTTAAGTCTTAGAGTGAACCCGGTATTCTGAGAAATGAAAAAAATATATATCACAGGAAGCTCTGTGCTCAGAGGGCTCAAGTGAAGAAACGGTTAACTGTAACGCCACACCTCCTTGCAAATAACCAAGGAAAGGTTTCTTTAAAGCAGTACAAAATGTCTCCACAGGCTGACGCTCTTTCTATGAGAATAATGGGATGTTTGCCACCTAGGATGCTGAGCACACAGTTCATTGCCTTGATCACATGCAGAATTTGTTGGTTAAAGTCTTGACTCCCTCTTTCTTCAAAACAGGTTATACAAGAGGCCTAAATCCATGAGAGCCTAGTGTAAAGGCAAAAAGTCAAAAGAACTGCAGGAGCAACATCTGTCATCTGGCACCTGACAGAGACTGTTAAAACTGTCATGGAAAATGAGCCCCATCGATGAAGCTAGGCAATCCCCCACTCTCAATTTCAAGGCTTGGTTCTGCAGCGGACGCTGCAGGAGGCGCACTTTCAGTCTTGGCTTACAGGAGTCACTGTGCCTTTAGAACTATAATCTTTCCATTGAGAGCACAGTGCTATTCCATGGAGAAGTTTGCGCTATCATTCAGGGAAAAAAGCAAATTTGAAGGTTTGTGGCTTGCGACCCTGGACCAGCAGGCGCGCTCCAGCCGGAGAGCGCGCAGCTAGTGGCTTGGACCCGAGCCTGTGGTGCGGAAAGAATCGCCATCAGGTCTGAAAGCGGAACCTCTCCCCTCTTGGCAGTTCTGAGTGAAGAAAAACCTGTTTTTCGATGGGGCCAACTGAAAATAAATTCCAGCGAAACCGCATGAAAAGGTTAACTGCTGTGAGCTGCAGTCAGGGGGTGGGAACATAGATGACAGGTGTGAGAGGGTTAAAACCAACCCCGGCGATGGGCGTGTGTATTTCCACATTTCACAAACTGGCCCTCAACCTCCCTACTTGACACCCTCTGCTCCAAGGTGCCCTTCCCCCATCCTGCACTAGGATCCAGAAAAAGTGAGACTACAGTGTGCAAGACCGTGCCCAGTGCTCGCTTCCTGAGTGTTTTCACTCTGCCCTATCTGCCTTAAATCCGGTTCTACTGAGGCTTTCGGATCCCTGCCCAAGAGCCTGAGATTGGTCACTGATTTTTTTTTTCCCCTAGCCTCACAAACAGTGAGTTCATTACCTCACCCAGAAATGTAACTTTGATGTAGAGATATCCAGAAGGCAACCTTCCCCCACTCTGACATCCCCTCCCCCAACTCCTCATCCTCCACCCCCAGCAGTGGCTCCCAAACCCTGAGAATCTCAGGCTCCTGTCGCCAGCCACGGTACTTCCCTTTCCTTCCTGGGAAGGATTCTGAGCCTTTGAACCCTCCTCTGTGGCTTCACCTCGCCAACAACTGAAGGAGTGTACAGAAATTAAAGACGCGTAAAGAAAGTGAGTCCTTCCCAGCCCCCTTTCATTTAAAGCCAAAGAAAAGGAAGGGGGGGGGGGCGAAAAAAGAAAAAAAAAAAAAAAACAGGCAGAAATCAAAATAACAGGGAGTAGTTTAACCCCCAACTACCCATGGAACGATGAAAAACCAAAACTTCAAAGGGTTAGATTCTCGGGCCCCGGAGGGAAAAAGTACCTGCCACTTGGATGAGTGGCTGAGGGCGCATATCGGGCAGGGCAGGACTACAGCATGTCAGCCAGCAGGCCAGCTGGTGGACGCCAGGGCCAGGGATGTCCCTTAGGGTGAGAGAAGGGATTCCCCCAAAGATATTATGGTTGGTGGGAATTTTGTCGTTTTTTCTCTTTGAGGACTCAGTGTAGAAGTGAGAACTGAGGTGCTATCACTGGGTGTGGAGACCAAGAAATCCCTCTCTCAGGGCTCACAAAACCTGGCTGCTAACCCAGTACACGCTGCGTGACTCGGCTGCCATCAACCCTAGCCACCCACCAGACAATGCAGCTGTTATTTCAGTGTTAATTTTTGTTTGTTTGTTTGAAAGAGCGTCAAACCGACCCTTTCCACTACCTTCCCTACGAGGTCTTCACATTATGACCAAGAGGAAGTTACTAGGGGATTTATCATGACAAAGTAAGTAAGTACGGGCAGTTATTTCAGCTCAACGCCCCGCGAAAGGAAATTGCTCTGGTTGTAGTGACGTGGACTTTGACACCCAGAGACTGGAGGGACTGTTCAGGGGAGAGAGTGGAGCAGATACTGCCTGGGGGCTTCTGCAGCCTCAAGCTAAGCCTCATGCAAAGTTCCTGGAGGTTTGCTCAGTGCTCGATCTCGCTGCCCAAACTTGAACGGGACCAGTCAAGCCTACAACGTGTGACACAGGTGACTGTTCCCAGGGACAAATCTGTGTCCCCGCGCGCCTTTCTGGGATTTTCTTACTTTCCCCACCACACGCTAGGGCGCACAGCCCCAGGCCACCCAGGGAACCGCCCCCGGTCCGCAACAACCGAGACAGCCGGGTGGTGCCTCTGAGGCCACAGGAGCTTACCTGGTCTGAGGACCGCGGCGGAGATCAGGAGGCAGAAAACGAGACGGCAAGAAGGGGAGACCTCAGGTGCCATATTCCTCCTCCTCGGGGGCCACCGACAAAGTCCACGCCGCAGGAGGGGGCGTCGTCCCCGGGCCCACCGGGCCCGCCCGCTCGTGGGTCCCGACTCGGGTTGGGGGGCGCAGAGGCTTTTTCCCAGACACACGGTCCCCGGGGGCTGTGGCGCTGTGCCGTCGGGTCTGTGCCACACGCAACTTTCCTACACGAGGAACCCGCAAGTCCTCCCTCGCCCTCCACACCCGCCCTCTGTGTCTTTGGCTGCTACTCCCAGGACGGGCGACCCTCTTCTTCCAGGAGACGCTTCAGTAAATAGTCAGCCAAGGTAGACGCGGTTCTTTTTTTTTTTTTTTTTTCCTTTTGGCTGCTTGCTACCTTCTATTAGTTTCTCTTCTTGCAAAAGGAGAGGATAAGAAGAGCAAGGAGAGTTGCGCCGTGCTCGGCTCGCGGGGGACCTGGAACGCTGTCGGCGGGGGTGGACAGCGCCGCGGGTCCGGACGGTGGGTCTCCTCAGGTGGCAGCCCGGGCACAGGCTGGAGCGGCGGCAGCTGGAGCAGTGGCGGCGGCCGCAGGCTCGGGCTGCTCTGAGTGGAGGGAGGAGGGCGTGTGTAAGCCGCCTGTCTCCTCCTCCCGCTCCTCCCTCCCGCCCGGTTTCCTTGGCGGCAGCGCGCGGGAGCAGGTGGTTGGAGCTCCGATCGGCAGCCTAGAGGCGCTGCAGGACCGAGTCGGAGACGGCGCGGAGCTGGCGGCCCCGGTGGGAGGAGAGCCTGGTGCCCTCGGCCCCCGCGCTCGGGGGGGCGGGGATTCCCGTGGCTCCGCCTCCCAAGGGCACGCCCGCCAATAAGGGACCGGTTTGAGAGCCGGAGGCCGCCGGCTGGATTAGCGGTGAACTGTGGCTCCTGCCATAGGGTTCCCAGCGCCACCCCCCAAACACATAATCTGTGACCATCCTCTGTCCCCCCCAGCCTGGCCACATCGCGGTCTCCTTGTACCGGGAAGCTCAGCCCGCGGCTCACTCCCGGGCGATGGTACCGCCTTCACCTTCAGTAGAGTTGTTGGGGCAGCTCAGGGGAGGCGAGGAGCTCACCCTGGGTCCTCTTGGACCAGCGCTGACAGGGTGGAATACATGGAAATTCTCCACATGGAGCTCACGGAAACAGCCACTGCGCGTTTGCGGGTAATTCTCTCCGGTTATAAACTCCTTCCTTACTTCCCGAATTCGTCTTTCTTCCGTTCCCCTAGCCCTGGCTGGCTCACACCTTCATTCAGTCGATTATCCCAGCACCAAAAAGCAGAGGAGATTTCTGCGCCGCCCCCTTCCGCCCCCATCTCCTTCTCGGGGAGAATTAGGACTCTAGACCACACCATACTTCGCCATATGGATTTTCCTAATGTTCCTTTAAAAAAAAATGGTGGAGGGGTCACGTTTACTTTTAATTAGGTGACGGTTTAAGTTACAAAACAAAATCCAGAGTTCCTCAGATTAAAAGCCAACTCCTCCAGGTCCTTTCCAAAAAGCCAGGCACCCAGCAGACGGACAGGCTTCTCTGGCAATTTCTAAAGCTTGAACCACCTCCCAGGCATAGCATCGGGAAGCCGTGTCGCTTTCAGTTCAGGCGGAAAGCGTGAAGGAATATTTTCCTCTAAAACACCCGGGTGGAGCTGTTGGGGCCCTAAGTGGCTCTAACTCAGGAATTCAGGATCACAACTCTTATGCCCGCAGCATAATAAAATCCAGGTCCCCGAACCGCCTCGCAAGGGCATTAAAGAGCCTTTGGTGCATCACAGGGTCGCCCACTGTGCGAAGCCAGTCTCCAGCAGGGAATGCCAACTAGCCACACAGAACTCTCTTCCAAAGACTGGGAGCAACCAGCTACCTGGTAGTGGAAATGGGGGTGTCCGAGTGCGCAGGCAGAAGCTTCTTAGACACACACACACACACACACACACACACACAACCGCGAGTGCGCAAGCGCACATACAAACAGAGTCACGGATCTTTGAATTCCTTTCCTTTCGTGCTTGAAATTATTAAACTACGACTTCAGCTGTGATTCCTTCCCCAGCGCCTCTCTGTCTTGTTCTCCTCGCGCTTACAGTATTCTAGGATAGATCTCTTAGATTTTTTTTCCTCTGAAAATAGTTTCTCCCACATGGTTCTAACATTTACATTTCATTTGCATCTTATGAATCAGGAGGAAGGCTAAATGCTAGGAGGCAAATGCCTGTTAACTCTGCATTCTGAGCACAGAGCCAAACTACTGGCATGCTCATGGGAACCTTACTAGATTCCTTCAGGGAATTTTTCTTATAACCGCAGCCAGCCTTAAGTTGGGTGTTTGAGAACAAATCATTGTAATTGTGTTTCTCCTCCATCTTCTGACTATTTCACTGTTTTGAGTTGAAACCTAACATAGCGCAATTGTAAAAAAAAAAAAAAAAAAAAAAAACGGCAAAGACGGAATGTCGGATCCTGGCTCTGACATTCTCTGATGAGCAGTCAATTGAACCTCTCTGAGCCTCACTCTCCTCACTTGGGAAAGGGGATATCAGTTGTTCCAGATTCATTGGATTGCTTATTGTGAGTAAATGAGATCTCATAAGTCACTGGGCAGCCACAGTAGAAGGTGCTGGGCTTTGGGAAATAGAGCCTAGGGGGTCCCTGATTTACACTTAGTGAGTGACCTTGATCAAAAGTCAACCTCTCACAATCAAATCGTGGTGACACATCAGCCAACCACTTTTGACGTTGCATCAAAATATATCAATTACAGGCACTAAACATGCACACAGTACAGGAAGCAGCTGACTATATATGCATGCATACATCTATTATGTACAGCAGATTTATGCATATACATGGCATATTTGAATATGTAGTCAGGTATCTTCAGAATTTCTATTAGAGAGGAATATGTTCTACTTTAAGAAAATGTCTTGGTAAACTGCTCAGCATAATAACTCCAAAGGCCATGGTTCGTATATAGATAGCTAAGGCCACAAAAAGTAATAAGGGCACTGCTCTATATAAAATTAAATAATAAAAACTCAAGATAGGAATTTAGCAGAAGAATGTGGTAGGAGAACAAGAACAGAGGAAGAGACAAGGTCAAATTGTATTAGCTGGAATTTGGAAGTGGTCAGAGGCCCTTAAAATTATTTCAATTAATTAGCAACTTTTACCAAACACTCATGTTAGATAATTCTAAACAATTTACATGAATTAGTAATCATTATTCACCCTCAAAAAATCCCACCAGTATTTTACTTATAAGAAATTGAAGGCCATAAAAAGAAGTAGTTTTCTCAAAGATACACATTGATTCATAGCACCAACAAGGCTAGAATTCTAGACCACCTCTGATTCTAGTATTGAACTTCTACCCATTGTGCACATAGGATTTGTGTAACAATAACTTTATATCTTTGGGAATATGGGGGTCTCCAATTAAACATAATTCCTACATCTTCTCAAACTCTAACAATGTCTACTACAGTCAAGCACATTTTTCTTGAAGAAATTAACATGGTAGCAAACACTGTCTGATTGGGCTAGGGAGTTAGAGGAGGGAGGAAGAACTTGTTTGAGGAAGAGGATGTTCATTCATGAGTAAGATCCAAGAGTCAGACGTGAACTGGGGTATGTGAACTCTACGATGCAATGCAATAGAGAGGTGCTCTAGTTTCATTTATGTTGCAGTGGTAAAGTGTCAGACACAAAACAAGGAGAAAGGATTCAGCTAAAAATTCCAGATTATAATCCCTGATTGCCCAGATGTCAAAACTACCAGTTACATCACATCTATAGTTGAGAAAAAAAAAAGTGCATTCATGTTTGCTACTCAGGTAGTCTTCTCAATTCAAAAACTTACACAATTCAAAAACACTGCCCAAGAAATAGTGCTGTCCATGGTAACCTAGGGTTTCCCACATCAGTTAACAATAAGGACAGGTTCTGAATAGCCATGCCCCCAGGGCAACCTAATCTAGACAACCCCAACCTAATCTAGACAGTTTCTCACTAACATTCTTCTCAGTTTATCCTAGGTTGCATCAAGTTGGCAACTAAATTTGGAACCATCACAAGAAAGAATTTGTCTCTCAGAATCTAGGAAACAGGGGCTGAGAGCCCCCTCTACCCTTTCTTGATTCTTAAGAGGAAGGAGATTATTAGCTGCATTGACATCAAGGATGCTTTTGTGAAGATCAGGAACAGGCCAATACTATTTGTCAGTTTAGTTTTGGCACAGAGCAACCTGAGTGGTATTCCTTACAGCAAAGGCAATATAAAGAATGCTTATCCAGAATTGCAACAGGTTATGTGGTCCAAAACACAAGAAAAACTTTGCATTATAAACTATAAAATAATTATTGCTCAGGGTAGTATATTCAAAGAGGTGCTCTGATATAAAAGATATAAACCCTATTTAGGGCTTACCGAGATAAAAACTCAGCACTCAACTTCCAAGGCTTGGGACATGATCTTTTCTCTTTATAAAAAAAAAAAAATCCCATCATTTTTTGGCAACATTCTTTAAGTGTGTATGCATATGAAGAGTAGAGGAGACTTTTTCCTCCTCAGTAATCACAAAAGTGCTTCTTACTTGTAGAAGGAATTTCATCAAAGGTAGTCTGGAAGCGGGAGAAATGTGTTCCTTACTCTACGGTATCAGACTGGTTTGGGTATTTTTCTTTTTCTACTTCTTTTATTTTTTTTAACTAAAGGTATATGCAGCCCAAGAGGAGGCAACAAATTTGATACACATCCTCATAAGCCCTATTTGTGAATTCATATGTCTAGGTGTATGGTGGCTAATTTTTTATGTTAACTTGGCATAAGCTAGAATCACCTGAGAGAAAGAACCCCAAATGAGAAAATGCTTCCAAAACATAAGGCTATATGTGAGTTTGTAGGCTGTTTTTTTACTTAGTGATTGACATAGAAGGGCCCAGCCCATTGTGTGTAGGGCAGCCCCTGGATTAGCTGCTCTGGGTGCTATAAGAAATCAGACTGATTGCACCATGAAGAGTAAGCCAATAGGCAGCACTTCTCCTTGGCCTCTGCATTAACTCCTGCCTTCAGGTTCCTGCCCTGACTGCCTTGGATGATCAGCTGTGATATGCAAGTGGAAGTGAAGTAAACACTTTTACACCAGCCCTAAGCTGCGTTGGGTCATGATGTTTCACCACAGCAATGGGAACCTTAGCTAAGACAAGTGGTAATTTACAAAGAGACTGTACATCCCACAGATATTTGTGAATGAATGACAAGTGGTGAGGAAGAGTTCTTTACAGAAGATGCAGACAGAGGATGACAATACAACCTCAACATTAAAGGGAGCTCAGTGAAGTACAAGCTTATCATTCCTAACCTGTAATCTAAAATCCTAAATAGGTCCCTCACAAGTGAACATCCTCAAGTGCTAACATGATGTCACATATAGAAGATATCATACCTGAGCCCAGGCAGCAAATGAAAACCAAAACACAGTAGCATGAAAAACATTATCAAAATTGTATTTTAGGCTATGAGTGCAAGGCATTTGTGATGGGACCAAGGGTGTAGGAACGAATGTCTGAAGTAGGATCAACTCCGATAAAGGCAAGAATTTTGTGCTGAGACCTAGGTCTTGCCTTCAAGATAGCTCCTTATGTACTATGCAAATACTCCAGAACAAGACAAAA